AGTTCTCAAGGTCACTTGACACCCACCAGCAGGGCACGCACTGAGGAGGGGGCTAGAGGAAACAGCGTAGCACTCATCCTCAAGTGGGTAGCACTTAGATGGAAATATTGACAAAAGGCAGTGAGCGCTCAGTGGACCATGCAGCATTTTAGCCCTGGAGGGCTTCAAGTTCAAGGTCACATGTACTTGAACTGCTTTGGGATGTTCATTTAGTACGCCCAGAGACCTGCATTTTTTTTCCCCCTGGTTTTTTCCTCCCTCCCTCCCTCCCTCTTTTATATCTTTCTTTTTAATCTCTAGTCTGACTTTTTTCTGGATACTTCCTTCCCTCTTTCCTTTGCCCTCTAGTCCCTCCGGAGGCATTGCTGCCCTCCAACCTCCAGGAGCCCGAGTGGCGTCTAACATTTCCCTCTGCCCCCTTTACTTTCACCATGTACGCGGAGAGAGGAGGGAAAAATATTTCTGGAGAAAAAAATGTTCTCTCCCAAAAGGTAATATTTAGAGTTCAAGAGGGTTTTACTAAAAATTTTAAGGAAACCGAAAAATACTATTTTTCTATTTTTCTGGGTTTTTTTTTTTTTTTTTCTGTTTGCCATAAGGAGGGTCTCTCAATGGGAATAGCATACAAATGAAACATGGACATTATATAAGCCAGCCAACTTCTGTATAATATACAATTAAGTAAACTATGAAGTCCTTGGAAAATGTAAATGTTTCCAAACTAGCCGAACCAGAGAATCATGAAAACTGTACATTGATGTGTTTCTAGTCTACCCCCAAATTTACTTTTCTGTCCCCAAAGCATGCTTTTTCCTCTTCACATGACTCTTCTAAAATCTGTCACCTATGCCTAAGAAAACAAAAGTGTGGAAGAGTCTATCTCCCTCCGGGGTAGCCACATGCACTGTATCAGGCTGCCATATGCTGTGTTTGAAGATGGGGGCGGGGGTGGGGGGGTGCCTGATTAGCTCAGTCAGTTAAAGGTCCAATTCTTGATTTTAGCTCAGGTTATGATCTCATGGTTCTGTTCGTGGGGTCGAGCCCAGTGTTGGGGCTCCATATGGGCCTACTTGGGATTCTCTCTCCCTCTCTCTCTCCCCCCTCCTCTGTTCACACATACACATGCTGTCTCTTGCTCTCTCTCGCTCTCAAATAAACTTAAAAAAAGAAAATAGAGAGGTTTGCACAAAAGCTCACCTTGTAAACTGAGCCTTTGATAAGAATTTTGTGGGCCCCAGTCATTTTTGAAATAGGTGCTTCATTTAACAAGATGATCGTCTCTATTAGCAAAGGTTTAGGCCACGTTTACTGCTCTGCAAATATTTGCTAAGTGAATAGTTGGGAAGGCGTCGGCAGACAGAACTCTTTGCCTCGCGTCTGTCCATCCTGTGAAGCGTACAGTGAGCAATTGCACAGTCCCAGGTCCCTCATGAGAGCCCTGTTTGTGTGCCGTGGCTCCATTTCAGAGAAGCCTGATCTTCAAGTCCCCTGGGTCTCTGCTTCCCTAACTTGAAGGTGCGTCTCTTAGGCCATCTTTGTCTCCTCAGTTCTTCACAGCCAGGCTGCAGCCAGAAAGGGCTGCCCTGAAGTGTGTGATGGAGTGGGGACCCAGGACAGGCCTGTTACGGGGCTAGCCGTCCAAGGAAGCACCCAGCCAAGGAGCTAACAGTGACTCTTATTTAGCAAGCGTGTCCTTAGGTGCTGGTCGTCATGCTAAGTGCTCCACACCCGTGATCTCATCCACTCCCCTCAGCGTCCGTGAGGTAGGTCTGACTGTGCCTCTTACACACGGGCCCAGCTGAAGCTCAGGGCCCTTGCTGAGACTTTCATTTCCAGCAGAATGGCCACCCGGATCATCGCAAAGACCCTCTGATCACAAGAAACAACAATTTGTTTTTAAAAGGGAAAGGAAAAAGGAGTATGGGGATGCCAGAAGCAAGGATGAAGTGGGAAGCTAGTGCAGGAGGCACAGGGCTACTGGAAGGAGTCTGGCAGCCCTCATCTCCAGGAGCTCGATGTCTGGGGAAGGAGACAGAGAAAATCAAAATGGCAGAGCAAGGGTTCGGGGGCGAGTGCTGTGACGGAGGTCGCCCTGGGAGCCGGAAGGGCACGGAAGAGTGCCATTTCAGCAAGACTCGTAAATTCATGTTTTCCACTTAAGAAAAAATAGTTCCCAAAAGTCTCAACCTTTCATACTTAGAAAGAACTGGGCTCGGATTCCAAGACAGCTTCTCTGACCACATGACCTTGACCAACTTACTCTAGTACTTTGAGCCTCCGATTCCTTCTCTGTAAAACGAGTGTGATGGTGACAACAGTGGCTACTCCACAGAGCTGGAGAGATTCGAGGACACGTCCTTTGAAAGCATTCATTGCCAAGCATTTAGCACAACGTCCATGATCATCATCGTTGAATATAATATAAATAATAAGAATAGTAATTCCTGGCTAACCTTCCCCCAGGACTAGAGAAAAGAAAGCAGTTCTTCCAGGGCGCCACAGAGCAGAGTGTTTATAAAGAGGTAAAAGACTGGCTTCCAGGGTCTGCTCTCGCTGGTAAACAAGAGCAGGCAATAGCTAATAAAATTTCAAATTAGCCATGACTTTTCACAGCCCTTCAATTGTGCTGGCTGATTTAATGGTCAGCGTCCCTGCTCGCTGGGATTGAATAATGGAGCATTTCTGCAGAGTTATGGATGCAGCAGCTGAATCTGTCATGCTAACATCAATAGCAGAATGCAAATAACCCTCAGCTTGGGCTGTAATTATGTGTTTAAGCGACGTCTGACAGGGCCAGCGTGGGAATGTGTGATGGAGGAGATGCAAGAGAAGACAGGCGCTTTGCGAGGCAGTTAGCGGGTGTATCTGGGAGCTGGGACAGGAGCCACAAGTTAGGACCCAGGACAGCTCTGGGGTGAGGGGAGCCCTTTCCTCCACATCTCAGGATGAATCTGGCAGGTGAGCAAAGAACAAATGGCCCTTCGCTTTGATGAGCCGTGTCGTAGACTCAGGGACAGCAAGGGGAACAAGCCCTTAGTAAGCACTTACTGTTTATGGGGTACTCTGCTAGATTTGGGGGCATATACTATGTTTTCTATTTATGTAACAAACACTTATGTGGCACTTTTACAATCCTCTTATGAGACATGTGCGAAACAGAGGCCAGAGAGTTTAAGTAACTTGCCCAAGGCCACACAGTGGTAAGTTTCAGAGCCAAGATTTGGCCCCAGACAGTCTGGGCCCTGAAATCCAGGCACTTTGCAGTGTGGTGCCCTCAAGGAAGTTATAAAGTCTTGGATACCATGCAAAAGTGGGTGAGAAAGACAAGGGATTTTTGTCCCTAATTGACTAAGGGGAAAAACTGGATTTCAGGCAGGTCAGGGAGCTTGCCCGAGGCCGCAATACCTCTGAGGCTGGGAAGGGGGCCTAGGGGTGCCGCGTGGGGCACCAAATCTGGCCAGTGCAAATGCAGTGCTCTGCTGGGCAGCACCTCTGTCGTAAACCCAGGGAGACAGAAGCGAGGGAGGTATGTCAGTGATGAGGAGACTGGGGCTCGGAGAGTAAGTGCAGGAATTCATCCAGGGGTGTTCTTAGCCACAGTTCTGGGACTTGAACTTCAGCCTTGGCCTCATGATCCATCCACCATACCGCACTGTTTAAGTGGATTGAATGAAGCGGGTGGTTTCCTGGCTTTTATGGACACTGTCATTTGGTTTCATCCCCTGCTTCATTTGTTAATCCATTCCATTCTCTTTGGTTTATTTATTTAACAGCCATGTTTGAATACTTGTACTAAGTGCTGGGGACACAACAGAGATAACCAGAGCAGGATCTGTGTCCCCATGGTGGTGGGGAACCTTGCCCAAAGTCACACAGCTAATAAAGCAAGAGAGGCAGAATTTGAACCCAGGGGAATGCAAGTCCTTAGACTGTTTTCTGCCCACAAAGCACCCAGACTGTCACCCTGGGCTTTCCCTGTCCCCCACTTGGTGCAGTGGCGTCTAATCCCTGGGTTTGTTATTCTTTGTAAGCTATGCTATTGGGTGCCTGTAAAAGCACTAATGTGACCAAAAATCTGTGATCTGATTGGATTTCTTTCTTTGTACTTTGGGAAACTGGAAGCCGTAATACAATTTCCAGTCCTGAAGAAATTCGTCCATGTGGCAAAGACATTCCCTGCTAGTAGCCCCTCGGTCAGAGACCTGAAGCCAACAGGCAAATGCAGGAACTCCCTCCCGCAGAAAGCAGAGCTGGGTCTCCCTGTATTTACATGGCAGCCGGCAGAGATGCAGGAAATCACAGCGCCTCTTCCTCACCCCCAAAGCTAGTTAGTTTAAGCAAACTCTTAAATACCTCTCAAAACCATCCGCTTATCTCCACCTCCACTGTTCACTGCTCTGGTCTCAACACCCACTACCTTTGCTCTGTGCAACCTCAGAGATGCCCTCGCCACTATGGAACCCCCAGCTTCCGCTCTAGGCCAACTGGAGTCCCTTCTCCCTGTTACAGGGACGGTTCTTTCAGTGATGCAGATCAGATGATGTCACCCCTGCTTTAAACCTTCCAATAGCTCCCACCGTCCCCCGGGGGTGAAATGCAAACTGCCTGAGCTGGCCCAAGTCCCCGGCGCCTCTGCTTCGGCCAGCATCAACGGCCCCTTCCTGTGCTCGCCCCTCACCTTCTGAGCTGAGTGTAGCAGCTCAGACGTTCAGTATGTTCTCTCACCTCTGGGCCCTCATGTAATTCCTTCAAATTTAAGGAAACAACAACAAAGAAACGCATGTCACACTGTACTCTTGCTTGTCCGTCTCTCCTGTTAGGCTAGTGGGAGCAGATCTGAAGTGCCTGGATCCCCTTGGTCCCCGGCAAAGGCCTTGGCTTTTGTCAGGCACTTAAAGTTTTCCAGCAAGTGGCAAATAGGGAAGCACGTGAAGGCACTGTGGACAAACGTGGCTGGTGGGACGTAGCACCGTCAACTTCATGCTCTGTCTCCCCTGCAGATGGCTTGATGGACTGCATGGACCCCGATTGCTGCCTCCAGCCCCTCTGTCACGTCAACCCGCTGTGCCTGGGCTCCCCCGACCCTCTGGACATCATCCAGGAGACACAGGCCCCCGTGTCCCAGCAGAACCTGCACTCCTTCTACGACCGCATCAGGTTCCTCGTGGGCAGGGACAGCACACACATCATTCCGGGAGAGAACCCCTTTGATGGAGGGTGAGTCCGCTGGGCCTCAGATCCAGCCATGACTGTCTGCGGGAGAACTGAATCGCCTCGAGGGCCATGTTTGGGGTGGGTGGGAGGTGGGAGGAGGCCAGAAGGGTTCTTGATGGAATGTCAGGGGAAACAGAGAAGCAGCCTCAGGTACCCACATTTAGAAAACTGCTATCCCAGGCATTTGGAATTTTAATGAGCAAAGTTTTGTTGTTCCCGCTGGGTGATAGATGGAGAGAGTGAGAAATCAAAGGTCCAAAGGGAATCTTGGATCAATACTCTCTTTGCAATCAGCTATTACTGATTCTGCAGGCTCCAGACGAGCGGAAACCCTTTAACGCTGTTCAGCCTCAGAGCTGCCGTCCAGAAGGCTGTGGGGGTGGGGGTGCCCCCACTGGCATCTCAGGCCATCTGCCCATGCATTCCTTCACAGGTGTTCAGTTGTGTCCCCTACTGGACAGTTTTTTGCTGCAGTCCACTCTGTGCCAGATCCCGTGCTGGAATCACAGAGGTGAATAGAGCACAGTCCCTGCTCATTGGTCGCTTACAGTCCACTAAGGGGATGAAAAGAGCCCCGGTGTGATAGGGCAGAAAGAAATGTGCCCCCAGGGTACTCTGGGAACACAGAGGAGATAATCCTGGGTGGGGGGAAACCACTACTTAAGAACTGAGTCTTAAAGATGAGAAATGGTTCTCTTGGCCAGGGAAGGAAGGGTGTTCCAGGGAGAGGGAACAGCTGTGCAGAAACCAGGGGCCTGAAAAGGCACAGAAGCCAGCATAAGATAGCTCTCTGTTCTCTGCTCCCCAGACCAGCGTCTGTGAATGAGACATAGTATCCAAGAAGGAGCTACTTACAAGAATTTCTTTTGACCATCTTCCAATATAGGGACATCTCTTTCTCTAGGAGTCAGCACAGTTCAATTCAGCAGTTACATAGTGTGTCCCTTCTATGTCCGTGACTTCCATGCCAGAGAGTTCCAGCCCTGCAGGGACAATGGGCTGTAATGAAGGGTAGGAAGGTTGAAGGCCATCCTCAAGTTCTGTTTCAAGGGGGAGATCAGCAGTTGGGGTGCCTGGGTAGCTCAGTTGGTTCGGCATCCGACTCTTGATTTCATTTCAGGTCAAGACCTCATAGTTTGTGAGTTTGAGCCGAATTGGGCTCTGTGCTGACAGTGTGCCTCCTTGAGATTTTCTCTCTCTCTCCCTCTCTCTCTGCCCTTCCTCTGCTCTCTATCTCTCTTTCTCAAAATAAATAAATAAACTTTGAAAAATTAATAATGAAAGGGGAAATCAGCAGGCCTTAGTCATCAGTTGGGCCTGAGGAATGCAGGAAAAAGAAGTCTCTTACTCAGAGGCCTCGGGAGATAGATGGTGGTGCCTTCTCCATCAGGCTGGGGACCTGAGAGCAGCAGGAAGGTTGGGAGCAAGGTGATGACCTCCATCCTGAGCACGCTAAGGGCAAGGAAGGGACACACCTCAGTAGGACCCCCAAGACACGTTCATAGTTCATAAGCAGTTCTGGAGCTCACACGGACGTTAGAGTTATCGATCTGGGAGCCAGCAACAAGCAGGAGTCAAGACCAGGAGCGCACAGCAGTCTGCTCCAGGAGAATGTGTGAGGGGAGAAGAGCAGGGACTAAGAAGGAATGAGGGGAAGCCACCCTGGGAGGTGGCGGTATCATCCCCAGAGTGTAACTGGGAATGCAAGGAGAAGGCCTCTCTACCGGGACGGGAAGGAGCCCTGGCTCTGGGCTTCACGCCGCAGGCCTACCCAGGGGGTCGGCGGTGGGGGTGGGGTCCAGGGCATGGCCTCCCACTGCCCCAGCCCCCTCCCCACAAGGACAGGATGGGGAAGGTGAGGTGGGGGAAACACTCCAAGCCAGTGGAAGAGGCATCACAGGAGTGGGTAAAAGCATTCAAAGTGTAACCTCGTTAGAGATGAAAATGCTTGCTGTTCCAACAAATCTGTCATCTTACCCACAGAATATTGAGAACCTCAGAGGTCAGATAACCTTCCCAAGTTCACAGGCTGGTCAAGTGACAGAGCCAGGAGCTGAGCTAGAGAGAGGAGAAACCTACTCATTGATCTTGGTCAGAAACGCTGCTTTTGTCCCTGGGTAGGAAGCTTCCCGCTCTTTTATTCAGTTGCGTGATTTTGTCTGTGTGCTTGTGGGCCTTCCCGTGGCAAGCGTTCTTTTAATCAACCGGAGGTTTGAAGATTATTCCTACCAAGGGGAATAGTCCTTGCTCAGCCTTTCTTTAGCGGACCCATTATGGGATCTGAATAGGACTGTGGCCGCTTGGCTGCCCGTGGCTGCTGTGCCTAAGGAGTGCCCTGACCATGCCATCCTGGTCGGTGCCAGCAGGGACCATGTCCCCTGCATGTCTTCTGGTGATGCACCAAGCCTGCTGCTTACGTGCCACAGATCACGGCGGGACCCACACGGGGATTTCAGGATGTTGCTCTGGCGGGTCTGACCTGCCTGAAGGTTCCTGTCAAGCAGGGAGCTTGAGAAACCCGTACCGGGAGAAATGGGCCTCCGAGCATGAGGGAAGAGTGTAGGCCTCGGAGTCAGGCCAGTTTGTGTTTCACACCCTGGCTCTGCCACCGCTGGATCCGTGGCTCTGGGCAAGTGACTTAATAAAACGAATATGTGAATGTCTCCCAGCCCTCTAAAGTGAGTCCTCCAGGAAGGGAACACATCTCACTCATTTTAGCGCTCAGTAGATGCTCAAAACAAATACGCATACTTACTGCCTTGAACAATGAAGGAATGGAAGAAAGGAAGGAGAAAGGGAGGGATGGACGGAGGAAGGATGGGAGGATACATTATCTATTTTCCTTAATTTGGGACTGAGGATTCAGAGTCCAGGGAGGTTAAATCATCTGCTAAAAATCATATTACAGATGAGCAGCAGAGGCAGGAGAAGTCGGCTCCCAGATCATTGTTTATGGATCTGTCACCTTCAGTTAAACTACAGATGCTTTGAAGGCAGAGACCATTCATCTCTCCAAACCTGTCATACTTAGGGCAGGGCCTGGAATATGGGATTCACTCTACAAATGAATGGGTAAATAGAACCTTCTAAATGTTACTGTGAAAATTCCTTTTAGCTAATATTTGCCACATCGTTATGTCTGTGCTCCTCGCTGGTCTAGATTCACAAGGAGCAGCTATCTATCACTACGGAGTATCTCCAGACAGATTTTTATGTAAAACAAGCCCAAGCTGGAAACATGAGGCATCAGATGCTTTTCTCGTTGGACTGCCCACAGGGTATTCCGTTTTCTGATCTGGGCCAGCAATTTAGTGCTCATGTGCATAGTTGGAATAAGTGAAACACCTGACACCAAGTTTGGGTTGTTGCTTACTTTCCTTCCCCTCGTGTGAAGGAAGGCAGCTTGATAGAAAGTGCTAGAAAGTGCCCAGAGTTTGAATCGTGGCTTTCCCTCCCACCAGCTCTGTGTGGCCTTAGAGGAAACGATGTAACCTCTGTGCATGGGCCTCCAATTATAAGTTGGCAATAACAGTGACTATTTCGTGAATGCCATTGAAAGGGTTAACTGAAATAAAGCATCTGGCACAGAACTTGGTACCTAGGAGGTCAGTAAATGGTAGGTTTATGGCGGTGGCATGGCCTAGTGAAAGAAACACAAGCTTTGGAATCAGAAAACTGGATTTAAAGTCTGTTACATCCACTTTCTAGCTGTGTGACCTTGGGCAAATTCCTTAACCTCTCTGAGCTTCAGTTTCCTCATCCGTAAGAGCCGGGTAATAATGTCTACAGAGTTGCCAGGAAAATTAAATGAATGAAAAAAAAAAACACACACACACACACACACACACAAAAACAAAGTACATACAGTTGTAACCTGATACCACACAAAAAACGCCTGCTAATTCGAAGATGATGACGGTGGTGGTGGTGATGGTGTGAAAAAGCGCTTCCCACTCCACTTTTTTAACTGGAAGTACAGCTTGATAGTGACCTGCCCTCTAGGGACGTCCAGCAGGCACCGAGAGAGGAGCGAGGTGTTGCATCCTTATTTGAGGAAGGGAAGAGGCAGCCTTGTGCCAGCCTGCTGTCAGCTGCAGTCCTTGTCAGGGAGGAATCCGGTGGCACTTCTCCAGAGAGGGGGGTTTCTGATGGGCAGGCGGCCCCGACCTGGTGGCTGTGTGCAACAGTAACAAGGCCAGGGCCTGACAGAAAACCCCACACTCTCCTGCACCCCGTATGCTGTGGCACAGCTTGTACAGTCCGCGTGCGAGTCCGTGGAACAGGCTTCACGATGCAGGCTGTCACCCAGAGACCCGGCAGCATCGCTGAGCCCAGCAATGACAGGCAATCCCAGAGATGCTGCTCCTTCAGGCTGCAGCCTCCCAGCCCGGAGGCTCCTGACCCGGGGCCGAGTTAAGAGCAGGAGGTTCTCCAGAGCCACGGCTGACACGTGAGGGGTCCCTTACGTTTCTGTGCAGCACCTCTGCTGGCGTCAGAGGCCCTGGGGCGGGGGGGGGACCTCAGGGGAGGATGAACAGCAGCGCTTCGGCAAGCGAGGGCCCCAGCCAAGCAGAGTAGGCGCTCAGCTGGGCTGGACTCCTTGGAGGAGAGCACAGAGCTGGACTCAGAACTGCAGCAGAAGGACGGCCAGGAGGACTTGGAGTAAGGAAGGCCTCCTGTGGCTCTTCTGTGTCCCCAGGGCAGGTGTTTTACACAGGTTTAATGAATACAGTAGCTCTACCTGACGTTCTGCCTCTGTCGTCCTCAACTCCACGTAAGCGATAGAGATGTGAATGGCTTCAGCTGATCGAATGTGGGTCTAAAGTAGGAGGGGACAGAGCAGACAGGAGAACCGCCATCGCCAGATTAGATGGCTTGAAGACCGACTTTCTTTCCCAGCCTGGAGGCCCACACCCTATCCGCTCAGTGGAGGCCCTCACCTGGAGTCACGGGGAAAATACAGTGTAGGGTGCCCTCTGCGTGGGAAGGAAGGGGCCACTCAG